CTGTCGGGTTTTAACCGTGGAGTTAAGCACCGCGGCCGTCATACTGACGAGGTCTAGCCACTGTGTTTAGACGTATATGACATAAGGGACCGAAACGTCTTACCTCACTCTTACTCTGATTTCCAGGGTTAGCCTAGACACTATGAATCACTTACCCTAACCGTCAAGGAAGGTATGTGTCGAGAGGAGGTACGCCGCGTTAGAATATTGGATTGGCCGTCGAAGTCGTCAAAAACCCCCAAACTAAAGCTTCGTTGCAATGTTCGAGGGGGCCACCAGCCACTTCGCAAAAACCAATCAAAAAAACGCGCTTCCGAAATAAACAAAGCTCCGACGGGGCCACCAGCCGCCTCCAAAGAATCAATCGAGGACAATACCGAGCCGAAGCCCCAAACTTGACGTGAGGGGGACTCCCGACGAGGACCAGCCACCCCTCGCCAATACTTTGAATTCCCTTGCTCGGTTCGCGAATTTTCGCGTCGGAGCCAAATGCTCGACCTTTGAACTTCCTTGCCTTGCCGTAGAAATAACACGGTTTGAAGAGAACTTCTCTTCAGCATGGCTGAGGGCAACAAGAAGGGGAACCTTAAGCTGGGTAAAGGGGAAGGTGATGAGGAACAAGGGGAACTTTTTATTCAAATTTTTTTTCAATTTCTACATTTTAAAGATTTTTATTTAAATTAATCTAATTTTTTTAAAATTGTTAAAAAAATTTTAAATTTTTTTTACAAAAACCGAGCATGGTTTTGGCTAAATTTTAAGCTTTTTTTTTATTTTTTGGAGAAGCGAAAATTGAGGAACAGGGGAAAATCCATCAGAAATAAAAGAAAGCAAAATTCTACCGGTGAGGAGTAAGAGTGAGCAAAGAAGGCAAGAATTCAACTGAAAAAACTCAAAATTTTACTAAAACAGTGCAAAATCTAGCAAAATTCATCAAAAAAAAAAATTCAAATTAGGTGGGGAGCCAAAAAAACTCGAAATTTTACTAAAACAATACAAAATTTAGTCAGAATTAAGCAAAATTCACCAAAACAAAAATGAGTCAAAATTGGTGGGG